TTTTGCTACTGGCTGCTGTTATGCACACCATGCTACACCATTTCCACTGAGAGCCCTCTCTGGTGCCAGCTCCAAGCACTTGTCTCAGTGTTTCCCCAAGGGTCTTGGCCTGAGCCACTAGAATAATGAAAGCACCATTAAACTGGTACAGACGCCACTAGAATCCCATGGATCAATTCATGTGTTTGCACAAATGTAGATGCAGTTGGGTCATTGCCTCCTCCACAAAGCCCTCGTGGTCTTCTCCTGTCCTTTCCCCTCCAAGGTTCAGCCTGGCACCCTCCTTGGTGCCCTCCTGTGCTGTGCTTATCACTGTGCTAACCTCGGTGTACAGTCAATTTCTACTCACTCATCTGTCTCCCCAGCTAGACCGCATTCTTAGGCAGCAAAGAACCCCTGCCCTGGGGTCCTGCAGACCCAGATGCAACTCCTGCCACTCAGGAGTTCCGCCAAGGTGCTGAACACTGCGAGATCTAGACTCTTCACCTACACAAAGAGGATAATAATACCCACTGCACAAATCGACACAATTGATATACCCAACAAACGTTCACTGAGCACTGGCCACAGGCAGGCACTATGTTAGTCACTGGATTCAGGAGTGCGCAAAGCAGACACAGAGTTTGCCCTCTGCAAGTTTACAGTCTACTGCAAGTCTGGGAGACAAAACACAAATGTAGTAGCTCAGAGGATGGTTAAGTCTGGGGAAAAAAATTAAGCAGGAAAGAGAGATGGGGAAAGGTGGGGTAGATCACTCTTTATGTTGGGGGGAGGGTCACAAAAAGCATCAAATAAAATGTCACTTGGAGAAGGAAGAGGGGGGTCATAAGGATATCTGGAGTTGAGGCAGACCAAAGACCAGGTGATCGGCCCACCTCGGCCTCCCAAAGTGCTGCAATTAAGACGTGAGCCACCACGCCCGGTCACGAAGTTTCAGCACTACATCCTGCCATTTCTTTACCCTCCGCTGTCACGTTCAGAGAAAGTGAAACCACTTTAACAGGCTGGATACTTCCTGGATTTCACTGGTACAGACGCCACTAGAATCCCATGGATCAATTCATGTGTTTGCACAAATGTAGATGCAGTTGGGTCATTGCCTCCTCCACAAAGCCCTTGTGGTCTTCTCCTGTCCTTCCCCCCGCCAAGGTTCAGCCTGGCACCCTCCTTGGTGCCCTCCTGTGCTGTGCTTATCACTGTGCTAACCTCGGTGTACAATTTCTACTCACTCATCTGTCTCCCCAACTAGACTGCATTCTTAGGCAGCAAAGAACCCCTGCCCTGGGGTCCTGCAGACCCGGATGCAACTCCTGCCACTCAGGAGTTCCGCCAAGGCGCTGAACACTGCGAGATCTAGACTCTTCACCTACACAAAGAGGATAATAATACCCATTGCACAAATCGACACAATTGATATACCCAACAAATGTTCACTGAGCACTGGCCACAGGTAGGCACTATGGTAGTCAGTGGATTCAGGAGTGCACAAAGCAGACACAGAGTTTGCCCTCTGCAAGTCTACAGTCTACTGCAAGTTTGGGAGACAAAACACAAATATAGTAGCTCAGAGGATGGTTAAGTCTGGGGAAAAAAATTAAGCAGGAAAGGGAGATGGGGAAAGATGGGGTAGATCACTCTTTCTGTCGGGGGGAGGGTCACAAAAAGCATCAAATAAAATGTCACTTGGAGAAGGAAGAGGGGGGTCATGAGGATATCTGGAGTTGAGGCAGTCCAAAGACCCTGAGGCTGGATGTGCTTGGTGAGTTCAAGGTTAAGTGAGGCGGCCAGTGTGTCTGGAGCACAGAGGGCACAGAGGAGGCAGGTCAGTGGGGCAAAGAGGGATTCCCATCATTCAGCCCCTTCCCTACAGGTCTCTATAGGAGGGGAGCTCACTGTAAGTTTGGAGGAGAGTTAAACCATCTGACTGCATTAAAAGCCAACTCTCATGGCTGGGCGGAGAAAGAATTTTACGGAGGCAAGGGTAACAGTAGGAGGCCCCACTGGGAGGCCAGTGTAGTCACCCAGGTGTGAGATGGGGGTGGCTGGGACACGGTAAATGCTGAGTAGATTCTCACACTCTGAAGATAGAGCCAACAGAATTCCTGACAACCTGGGGTATGAAACCCAGAAAGGCAGAATCACAAATGCCTCCAAGGGTCTTGGCCTGAGCCACTAGAATAATGAAAGCACCATTAACAAGGATGGGGAAAACCCTAAGAAAAGCAGGTGGAGGTGGAAACCAGGAGCTCATTTTTGGTCACTTGAGTTGGACATGCCTGTTGGACATCTAACTGGAAACTCATGTGGAGTCAGTCTGAGACGTCTGGCCTTAAGGAGAAAGGTCCAGGTTGAGTACAGAAACCAGCGAGTGGCCAGTACAGAAGGCGATTTTAAAACCTACGTGCTGGGTGAGATCATGTGCTGCATGGGTGCGCACATAAGAGCAAAGAGGCGGAAAGGTTGGGCCCTGGGCCCTTCAACGTTCCCAGGCTTGGGAGAAGAGGAAATGCAGCCACTGAGGCAGAAGAACAGGGAGAGTGTGGGGACCCAGAAGCCAAGTAAAGACTGTACTTCCAGGAGACAGGACTTGGCAACAGTGTGAACTACCGCTGAAAAGTGAGGTAAGGTGAAGGCAGAGGACAGACTGGACTGAACCAGGTTGTCTGTGTGGTGGGGCATAAGCCTGCCTGCAGTGGACTTCAGAGAGAACAAAGGAAAAACTAGAGTAAGCAAAACGTAGAGCAGAGACACTGGCCTGAGGGAAACATGGGACTGAGAAGGATTCTATTTCCGAAGAGGGAGATCATAGCATGTTTCTGCACTAAAAAGAAAGATCCAAGCGCAAGGGGAAAAGAATGATGCAGTAGAGGAAAAGGAGATATCGGAACTGTGTCCTTCAGGGGGCAGGCAAGTGGGAGAGGGACTCAGTCACAAGTGGAGGACAACTCGTGTGGGCCACTTGACAAAAAGGGAGAGGAGGTGTTTGGGGGCCTAACACAGGAGGAGCTAGGCACCAGGCTGGGACCCCCAGCCTTCTCTGTGCCTTTCTGTATCCAGGGAACCCCTGACACACAGGAGGTCCTCAAGGCTTAACTGGTAACACAGAACCAAGAGAAGCTACTGGAAGCCAACTGGCATATATTAAGCTGTCATGAGGCATTACTTCAAACAGACAAACAAAAGCAAACACTGCAGACAAAAATGAGAAACTGAGTAAACTTCTATATGAATGCAACTGGACTGAATTACAATTTTGCTACTGGCTGCTGTTATGCACACCATGCTACACCATTTCCACTGAGAGCCCTCTCTGGTGCCAGCTCCAAGCACTTGTCTCAGTGTTTCCTTGGGGAAAATAAAAAAGCAATAGCTCCAGTATTAAGTGCCCGCACAGCAGATGTTCCCACTGGGAGGTGATTACCACCTGGGACACTGAGAGTTATGACTGACACAGGTATCTGTAAAAATCCATGTCTGTGCAAATCCTGATGGTGTACAAAGGGCACTCCATGAAGCTTTCTGTTTTTGCATCCCACAATGACAGTGCATGTTATTCCCAGTATATCTGTTTTATATCTGAAGAACCTGAGTCCAAAGAGAGAAGGAAGGGTTCAATCTACACTGAGCGCCTGTGATGAGCCATGCTTGCTGCTCAGGTTTCAATGTTACCATCTTTAACCTTCATGACAATTCAGTGAAGTGCTGTCTACATCTCAGTCAGGATAGCAGGTCAACAACTGACCCAAGTTACAAAATGGTTCACTGGCAGAACAGGTTCTGGATGGAAGGTCTCACAATCCCAAAGCTCAGAGTCTTTTGCACTTTAGTGGTTCCTCTCTGCATACCTCCCCGAGACCCTCCCATGTGGCTGCATTCCTTCCCTAGTCCTCAGTGACTGAAACCTCCCTCCCTTCCTCCCTGGCAGGGAAAGGACCCCCATACCAGTAATGGTGCAGGCATCCCGGTACCCTCTGTAGCTGGGAGCATCTTCCACAGCCTCGCTTATGTAGTGTTCCTCAGGGATGCCCGGGCTGCAGGCTAGGACTGCATGGTTGCATGCCTCCGAAGGGGGCACGGAGTTGGCCAAAGTGTCGTCGTGCAGAGCTGTGGCGTCCAGTTTGGCAGGTTTCACGGGGAGGTGCCCACTGCCATCGGGGGCCCCACTGCCAGAGTCTGGGGCAGTTGGGCAGATGGCCCCCGGTAGTTCTGGTGCACCAGCAGGGGCTCCTTACAGGGAATCTATGGGACAATTGAGAGAGAGGGGCACAGTTAGAGTCTATCGATAAACCTGGACAAATCTTTAGAAAATAAGGGCCTGGGAATGACGAGCATTCAGACAGCGAATTCTGAGAAGTGTTTCCCTCAAGTCATGGCATCTCCAATCACACTGCTTAGTTTCAATAAAATAAATGCAGCAAAGTTCCATTCAACTAATCAATACTGACCAAAATGTGGAGCACATGGCTTCATCTGCTTATTGAAACCTGCCTTGAAGCAGCTCTAAGCAAATAAACACACTGGAGCACAGCTAAAACCTGTATTCCTACAGGATTTATACACACAAAGAGAGGTAACATTTTTATTTGTATAAATTCTTTCAACCACAGTAACTTCTCAACTCTCTAAGAACTTTAAGGTATGCCCCTACCTTAACCTACAGTGAGAAATTAGGGGACTCCTTTAAGAACCTGATGAAAACGGCCGGACACGGTGACTCACTCCTGTAATCCCAGCACCTTGAGAGGCTGAGGTGGGCGGCTCATTTGAGGTCAGGAGTTTGAGACCAACCTGGCCAATATGGTGAAATCTCATCTCCACTAAAAATACAAAAAAAAAAAAATGAGGTATGGTAGCAGGCACCTGTAATCCCAGTTACTCAAGAGGTTGAGGCAGGAGAACTGCTTGAACCCGGAAGGCAGAGGTTGCAGTGAGCCGATATCACGCCACTGCGCTCCAGCCTGGGCAACACAGTGAGACTCTGTCTCAAAAAAATGAATAAATAAAAAAGAAAGAAAAGAAATGAAAAAGAAGAATCTGATGAAAACTATAGACTCATCCCCATTTAAAATCTGACTGGGACTAAAGATAACTGCTGAGAAAATATGGCACATGACACAGGCTGCTAAACACTCTGCTCTGTTCCGGCAACAGCACACCTACATGCAGGCCACTTCCCACACATTTCAGGAGCGCCGCTGCCTCACCTCCCAGCGCACCTGCACACACACCACATGTGTACACACAAAATGTCAAACAGGAGCTTAATGAAAAAGGAAACTTACAAAACATTCCTCGGGACAAGAGATCTCAAATTGTGGTCTGAGAATCCCTGGAGTTTCCTGAGACTGGTTCAGAGGGTCTCTCACTTTTTTGTGGAGGTACAGTGGAATTTTCCAGAGACTACATTATGTGTGATGACGCCATTGCTCTGAAAGCTAATTAATGGAATTTTCATATCCCTGTGGTTTTACATCTTATGTTTCTAACACAATACATATGAATCAATAGAACCATTTAAATAAAAATGCTTTAGGAGGCCCAATAACTTTGAGGCATCCTGAGACCACACACAAAAAAAGTGTGAGAACCACTGCTCTAATAAATGATGCATTATCATTTGTTTAAAAAACACATACACACAAAAAGAGAAAGTTAATAGACATTTCACTCAACATGTACAGTCAGTTCTGAGAGAAAACTACAGCCCTGAATCTGTGACATTTTTCTCAACAAGTTTATTAACCAAAATACACTAGGAATTCCTATTACAGGCTGAGTATCCCTTATCTGAAATGCTTGGGAACAGAAGGGTTTCAAATTTTGGATTTTTGGCTGGGCGTGGTGGCTCACACCTGTAATCCCAGCACTTTGGGAGGCCAAGACGGGCAGATCACTTGAGGTCAGGAGTTTGAGGCCAGCCTGGAAAACATCATGAAACCCCATCTCTGCTAAAAAATACAAAAAGTAGCTGGTCATCATGGCACACGCCTGCAAACCCAGCTACTTGGAAGGCTGAGGCAGGAGAATCACTTGAAACCGGGAGGCGGAGCTTGCAGTGAGCCAAGATCACGTCACTGCACTCCAGCCTGGGCAACAGAGAAAGACTCTGTCTCAAAAAGAAAAAAAAATTTTGATTTCTTTCGGATTTTGGGATATTTGCCTTACACTTACCAAGTGAACATCCAAAATCCAAAAATCTGAAATCTGAAATGCTCCAATGAGCATTTCCTTTGAGTGTCATGTAAACACTAAAAAAGTCTCAAATTTCAGATTTTCACATTAGACATACTCAGCCTGTATAAATGAACTCAGCCCAGGCAATAAACTTCCTGCCCTCATTAACATGAAAAAATAAATATGAAAATGGGAAGGATGGGTAGGAGAGTTTGTATATCCCTGGTGAGAAAAGAAAGTTAACAAGAATTCTTTAGGAATTTCTGCAAAACAACATGTACATAAAACTGGATTGGCATGAAGAAAAAAAAAAGAAAAACAACACTGGCTTGTCACGCCTAGTCAGTGACTCAAACACAGATGGATAAGCTGCCTCACTAGAAAAGTCTATAATCCTCAAGCAGAACCCAGAACATTCTAGACAGCAGAGGGCTGAGCAGGGTGGACTAGAAGACCCCCAAGAGTCACCAATGGTGGTCAAGGGTCCAGGATGGGATTTCACTGGCTGAAGCTAAGGGAAGCTGGGCACTGCCACAACCCACCCCCAGTGGGTCCCAAGGGGGCTTCTCCATGCTGGTCAAGTTGTGATTCTTGGTCTGGAGACTGACTTGCAGACTAGAATCAGTGCATGAAACTCCATCAAGCTGCACTCTTTACAATTCATACACTATTTTTACACTTTTTAAAAAATATGGAGTCTTACTATGTTGCCCAGGTTGTTCTCCTGGGTTTAAGTGATCCTCCTGCCTGAGCCTCTCAAGTAGCTGGGATTACAGGTGCACACCACCAAGCCCAGCTCTCATACACTTTCTTTGTATGTCTATTTCAATTAAGTGATAAAAAGGTTAATGAATGCAGATACCGAATCTAAAAATCAGCTTGAGAAGTCATCTCTAAACCAAGAAGATACAAAGGCATACTGATGAGAGTTCCAGAAAAACCAAAAAAAGCTTAAGACAAAAAGAGTAAAGTATATAAAAACACCAACTTTAAAATGCTTTTCTAGAGGTGAAGATGTACACCTTTAAATCAAAAGGTTCTACACCAAGACCCAGACAAAATCAATGAAAAACTAATAATAAACTCCTGGATATAATCTAGTAAAAATTTTAAATTCCAAAGATTTAGATAAAAATATGACAAACATTAAAAAGGTATCCCCACATGCCATACCAGTGGGATAATTCCTCAGAATTTATTTATTTATTAATTAAGACAGGGTCTCTTTCCCATCACCCAGGCTGGCGTGCAAAGGCACAATCACAGCTCACTGCAGCCTTGACCTCCTGGGCTCAGGTGATCCTCCCACCTTAGCCTGTAGCTGAGACTAGAGGCGCGCACCACTACACCTGGCTAATTTTTGTATTTTTAGTAGAGATGAGGTTTCGCCATGTTGCCCATGCTGGTCTGGAACTACAGACTCAAGTGATCCACCTGCCTTGGCCTCCCAAAGTGCTAGGATTACAGGTGTGAGCCATAGCACCCGGCCAGTTCCTCAGAAACTTAAGTGAAAGATAGTCACATAAGACTTTTATACCCAATTAAGCTACTGTTATACACAAAAACAATTGGCAGATATTTAGAAACTCAAAGACCCTGACGTTCCTGAGGGGCTCCAAGTCTGCTGATGACACCTCATGGGCTCTCACTAACACAGGTCACCATAAAGAACTCAAAAGGTGAGGAACACATGGTAAAGTAAAACTGGCGGGGAAATTAAACCAGGAACACTTAAAATCAACATGTAAATAATGCACTTCATTCACAGACCTAAAGCAGACACAGCTCAAAAAAGAATGGGCGAAGGATATAAAAATTCCCTCCCCCTGCCAAAACATAACACACACACACAGTTTAAGGAAACTTAACAGTGATTTAAAAAAACAACAACAAAGACTTAAAAAATATAATGATGCTCAAGTTCACAACTGATTTAGGAAACTTATAGACTTATGTATTATTGGAGTAAGGTGAGGAGTATAAATTTGGAAGAACAGCCCGAAAAAATTTACTGTGGTTCTCCAGCTCAAGTATATATAGGTCAAAGATGTATGGCACAGTGAAATGCTACAAACAACCTAACAAGCCACAGCAGAGGATCGAGTCATTAATTATGGGACAGCTATCAAGAAGTCAACCATGCTGCCATGAAGAGGAAGTGTCAGAGCACATATTAATTTATCAACACAGAAAGATGCGGTAGGCAGAAAAATAGTAGATAGTGAATGTGGTCTTGGAAAGGTTTTAAAATGCATTAACAAATTGAACCCTCATTCAAGCCTTCTTTAACCTGTACTTAGACATATTCTATCTGATCCATACACAGAAGTTTGAAATACTTTCTCCCTTTGCAAAATACAATTGTTCTTCTGAAAACTAAGACAGTTTCATTTAAATCAATATGGTTGGTTTTGTTTTTACAAAGGCTCTAATATGTCAAGATTTCTCTCTCTCTCTCTTTTCTTTTTTTTGAGACAGGTTTTGTGCTCTGTCTCCCTGGCTGGAGTGCAGTGGCGCAATCTCAGCTCACTGAAGCCTCAGCCTCCTAGGTTCAAGCAATTCTCCTGCCTCAGTCTCCCAAGTAGCTGTGACTACAGGCATGCACCACCACGCCCGGCTAATTTTTTGTATTTTTAGTAGAGAAGATGGGGTTTCACCATGTTGGCCAGGCTGGTCTCAAACCCTTGGCCTCAAATGATCCACCCACCTCAGCCTCCCAAAGTGCTGGGATTACAGGCATGAGCCGCAGGGCCTGGCCCTAATGTGTAAAGATTTCTTAAAGAGGTTTTACAGTCAAGCTTTATATAACTGTCGCTTTCATAACTTTTTATTATAACAAGCTTTTTATAACTTACCTATAAACAAGCTTTTTATAACTTACCTTTATAACATATAGGTATATATAACATGTTTATAAATAACATATAACACATATATATAACATGTTATAAAGTTACATATACCTTTATAACTTTATAACAAGTTTTTTATAACTTACCTATAAAATGAGGGAGATGGCCTAAATCATGATCAATAGCCCTAAATCACTACTGTTTCTCTTCCTA